ATAAAGCTCTCTCTTTTTTTTTTTCATTTAATTTTATGATTTTCTTACAGACGTGTTCAAAGCAAGCTATGATTCTCCATGCAAAACAGCTCCATCAAGCATTTTACTAACCACTCCCCTGGGAAAATGGAGATTCAGGCAAAAGAGAGGAAAAGGAGGCCAGGCCTCTGTCCTCAATGGAAAAGGAAGAACACACCTGGAGAGTGGCTGAGACAAAAGGACCAGGAAGGGAGAAGCAGTAATCGGAGAGGAGATCCTGCTTCCAATCTGTCACTGGTTTTGTAAGATTAATCCCTTGGTGGAGGAAAGGGACACAGCAGCCGCATAATAAAAACTGGGACAAGGTGAGGCTGTGCCAGACTGTATCTCCCTCAGGACTCAGCTCTGATGTCAGTCCTTCCAGGAATCCACTCCACTCCTGCGATCCGCTTTCCCAGAGCCTAACTTGGATCAAGTGACTGGCCCGAGATTGGCAACCCTCTGATGCACACCTCATTCACTCATTCACTCACTGATTGTGGAGCACCTGCCCTGCCCTAAGTAATGGGGACAAAAAAGTAAACAGCACAATAGCACTCCACGTACGGCCTTTATTTGCATTGGTACTGGTTTCGGTTCCTCCCACAGACCTGCTTCTAGGAAGAAGCCCTACTTCGTTTTTGCATGCTCCGGGTCTAGCACAGTTCCTGCACAGATTAGGGGTTCAATGAAGAATGACTTTAAAGCGTATTTTTCACAGGAGGGTATGTTTTCAAACCCGTAACTATAGGGCGGTGGACGTAGGGACGAGCAGACACAAGAATGGGAAAGGCAGACTTTATTCAGTCGTGAGGCAGTCCACAGCTTTCCTGTGCGGCTGCTCGCACTGAAATGAGAGTCCGGATCCGGGACGGAATGGGAAGGGCTTAGTCCCTCCAGCGTTCAGGGGACCGTGACTGAGGGGGCTACGAACCGGGTCCCCCGTACGCCGGAGCCCGCCCGCCCCCGCGCCTCACCAGGTCAATGGCCACGACGTCCCGCAGCGCCACGACCCGCCGGATGGACTTGGGCGGGTTGTCGGTCAAGTAGATGAGCCGGTCGCTGAGCACCACGTACTTTAAGGTGTGCTTCTCCGAGTCCGATACCACGACGCATGGCTCATAGGCGCGGATGGTGTCGTATACCTCGGGTGGTAGCTGCCGCCTCAAGAACGCGTCCAGGCGGTTATCGGTGCGCGCGGGGAAGCCGGACCGCGCGGGGATGGCCATGCGGCACAGCCAGGCGGAGCGCCAGGCCGCGAGCGCCTTCCTCGCCACCCGCGCTGGGATCCGCGCGCGCCACAAAGCCGGCCCCGCCACTCCCCCAGAGCAGGGACGGGTCCCAGGGTCGGCCTCCGGTCTTTGTCCCAGCCTCGCACAGCGGTGGGCGGGGCAAGGCGCAGTTTCTGATTGCCTCCCAGCTCTCAGCGGTCCTCCCCTCCCACCTCAGCTATCGCGGATCCCTCATCCCAAAAAAACTTTACTCAAAGGAAGCTGTGTCGTGTTAGAAACGTAAAAGACATGGAATTTACCAATTCACTGTTTAGACCCTTAATAAGAGACAGACTTAACAATGATAACGTAGCTAATTTTGTCTCGAGTGTAAACGTAAGTCTCTCTCCAACTAGTCAAAAGCTGAGACAGAGGATTCTTCTACCTTGTTTGGGCACAAGCCTACCTAAGTGATAAATGCTTGTGCTCCCAACGCTCAGGACAATCTGAGATTAACGGATGGGTGACGATGGCATCTTGAAAAGGTAAATTCAAGGGCAGCCTGGGCTACATAGTGAGTTGAAGGCCAGTCTGAACTACATAGCGAGACTCTGTCAAGAAAGAAAGAAAGGAGAGAGAGAGAGAGAGAGAGAGAGAGAGAGAGAGAGAGAGAAGAGGAAACTTATAGTTGAAAGAAAACTGATTACATAGCCCTCAAGATGCAGCTCAGTAAACGTACTGCTTAGGTTTTCATAGGGCAGGAATAACATTTAGGTCACAAAAAAACTTGCCCTAAGTGACCACTTCCTCCAAAAACCTGATAATGAAAACCGTATTACTACTTCAGCTACCAGCAACCCTGAATCAAATATGATATTCTTTATGGTAACTTACACTCTCTCTTCGTATTTTACTATTGTATACTATATGTTGTAAGCAATTTCAAATCCTTTGCGGAAAGACGTTATAAATGTATTGCAAAGTATAAACAAATATTGCCGACTAAACTGCTATAAAAGGAGGAAGAGAAATGCCTGAGTCTGGCTAAGCTTAAATCTAAGATCATGCTGAGGGCCTAACAGCAAAGAAATAAGAACATTTATTTCTTTTCTTACAGACTGTAATTTGGTAAGAGTAGGAGAGAAGTGCCCCCTGCTGGCAAAATTTTACATGGCCTTGCATTTGGAGTTTGGGGATCTGGTCATACATGTCCAACCTTTTATAACTGAATAAAAGGTGGGTGCATCATCCATTATAAACTTTATTGATTAATAAGCTGCTTGGCTATTTTCTCTAAAATATAAACTAAACCTTATCTAAGACCACTCGAGCTCGTTGCTTCAAACAAAATGGCAAAGGTCCTTCACTTGTGCCCAGCCAGCTCTCACAAGAGCAGCTGAGAGGCAAATGGATACAACAGAGACAGAGATAAGTGACCCCCCAGTTCAAGGAAAGGCCTAGCTCCAGGCCACTGTTCTCCCAGGCCTTCTGCTTCATACCCACTTCTCAGGACTAACAGAAACATAATAACTGAACCAGAAAAGACAGCATACCTGATCTACCTGCCAAAAAGCCCATCACAAGTAAGCTTTTGGTGACAAAGGCACTAAACTTGACAAAATTTAAGAAGAACACATCAAGAAGGGAATTTGACACAGGAACATGTAATTAAAGTGCCCTTAGTTGAAACTTTTGTAGCACACAGAGAAGGCAGTACCATGATTTCCAGGTACTCAGTGTTATACATTGTTGCCAAGGTAACAGCAAAGTTCTTATTGCAAGAAAAGGGTTAAATATAGAGGAAAGTCCCTTTCCAGTTGGGTCTGCCTGGCTTCAGTGGCCTCACGTGTGTTGGGCTGGAGAGCAGGCGTGAGAGCCGCCGCTCGGGGCTGTGAGTCTGTGGGGTCTGGAGTGCAGAGGTCCCCTGTGGCCTCCAGGACATCACCATGCCTAAAGCACCTAAGGGAAAAAACACAGAAAAAAAAAATCATCCACCCATATAGTAGAAAAGCTGCACAAATTACAAGAGAGGCCCACAAACAAGTAAAGAAGGAAAAATTGAAGAATGAAAAGGCTTAACATCTCAACCTTATTGGTGAAAAACTGCAGTGGTTTCAAAATGAGCTGGATCCCCAAAAACTGAGATATTCAAAGAAAGACACTTGTGAATTAATTGAAAGGTATTTAAATCGATTCAGCAGTGAGTTGGAGCAGATTGAGTTACACAACAGCATCAAGGACAGGCAGGGAAGGCGCCACCAAGCCCAGGAGATGGTCATCAAGCACCAAGCCCAGGAGATGGTCATCAAGCAGATGATGGAGCGGGAACAACAGCAATACGAAGGCTACAGCCTTGAGATTCCAGACATTTTACATGCAAGTAGTCTGAAAACCTTTAGGGAATGGGATTTGGATCTGAAGAAACTGCCAAACATTAAAATGAGAAAACTTTGTGTGAATGATGCAGTTGCTAAGACCACAAAAAGAAAACTCAGAATTTAACTATAAATAAAGATTTAGGGCAATGGGAACTAAAAGGCAAATCAAGTGACTCGGATGAAGAAATGACTCCTGTGGCCTAATTGTCCTTACTTGAGTTGAAAATAAGTAATATGAGAACTTTAAGTCACACTCACTACTTCTGAGAAATAATTATCTAGTATTTGCTGTTTAACT